TATATATATATTTATACTAACCGAGATGTCTTTCGTAAGATAAAGAATGCTTTCTAGCAAGAGGCACAGATGACACAGTGTAACATAATGAATCATTCCATCCTTGTTATTTGTCAACGTTAAATAAAAATAAAATGGTCACTGCGTTACACCATGTCTCTTGCGGGAAAACATCAATAAATTATACATTTCTCTTAAAGTCTCAATTTATGAAGTTTACAGAAGCATCGTAAATAGAAATTACCGTACATAGCGTTATTCATAATTTTATTCGTAATAATATAATAAACAGATGGAATTGCAAATTTATTACATTATTAACCGTAATCCTGAATACTGGTCGATGGATTAAATCCAACTACGCGGGAATATATAGAATATCGCAATGGTTATCTTGTTAAAACGGCGATGATTAATTAGCAACACGGTCGACATTGCCTCTCACATGTCGACTGAAATTATTTTGGTGTAGATACATTTCTTGCTCATATAAATGTATAAGGTTTCCCGCCAAGAATGATGATTGGGAATACAAAATATTAATATTATTTATATTAAATAAATATTAATATTATTGAATATTATTATAAATTATCAGTTATGATGTAATAATTCTTCTACCAACCTCTCCTATCGTCCATTTAATCGATTAATCATATGATAAGTAATCAGATCAAATTTATTATAGCATAAGAACTGTGTTATTATACACATAGTTTGTCACTATATTATGTAACATGTTTGTTATATAAGTTTCCTCGCGTTAAACTGAGAAAGTTGATAAGAAAGTTTAAATATTGATTTACGTGCCACTTCTCATCGAAAATTCAAGATATTTGGATACATATTTACAGTGTAATTAATATTTAAATAAAAGAATCTTGACAGTAAAAAATTTATTAATTTATTGGAAATATAAATTAAAAAATCATATCTTTATTTAATTTTAAATAAAAATAATAACACAAGCTCCTAATTATTAAACTCTTAAATATCTAATATGTTATGTGTAAAAATGATCATATTGCGAAAAAATATCTTCAAAATTAATTTTAAAAAACTATTTAATCGTATCAATGTTTCATGATATTCTATTGAATCATCTATTTAGAATGAATTAATAGATGCAGTATAGAGAACAGAATGGCTGCTATCTTAATAGAATAATCAAGTTGAAACTAAATTCGAACTCACCTTGGCCTTGGTCGCCTTGTCCAACGTGTGGCCGCTAAATCGGATCGTGCTCTCGGTGGCCGCCATCTCCAGCACCCCTGCAACGAGCACAAGAAAAGAGGTCATTCAGTGTCATCAGCCTCCAGAGTTAATGTCTTTTAATGCAACTACTCTAAATGAAAATATCGCTTGAACGAATTAAAAGCCAAACGACACTCTTGCGACAATTCGTTAGATAAAGTATCGAGGAAGATATTAGCTATTTATATGTTAATTGTAACATAACATTGTCAAAAAATTAATGTATGTCTAGAGTATTCTATATATTTTTAAAGAAGTAAAAATATAGAGATCTTAATTGCATTTTTAATTAAATTAAAAATTTATGGTTCATGCTTAAATTTTTTATATTTTTTAATAATATATAAATATAAAAGTTTTATATGCTTCTGAAAATCTTGCCATTAGGATATTTTCTAATTTTTATTTCTATATATTCCTATATATTTCCTCCTATAAATATATTTTATATTTTAGAAGTGAATTTTATTATAGAGTATTTTAAGACATTTGTTGATCGATTTGTTTTTATATCTTATAAAGTATGTAATTTTATTGATACTTTTTAAAATAAATAAATTATACATAAATCACTAGAAAAAATAGGAAATTACAGAGCTTGATAATTATTAGCATTATTGGAACAACGATGCTGAGTAACGAACGCAAGACACTTCATTTTCGATCGACACGCTTAAAGAAACAAATTTTGTATGAAGAATTCACCCTGTACCGCATTCGTTGCACAATAATATTACACTGCCTGTAAATGTCACTATCTTTTCAGAGACAAGAAAAAATTAAAGTTACACACCCACAAAAGATGACGGAGCATTATAAATGCGCATTATGAGCAAATTATCCCGAGGCAGTTGTAAGGTTGGACCGTGTATTTCCATTCGAAGGCCGATATGTGGAAAAAGTGAAAACGTTCGTCATATAATTATTTGAACAATTTTAATGAGTCACACTCTTTTGTAACACAGATTTTTTTCTATGAAAAATATGATGTTAACGTAGTGTAACAAAATAAATATTTAAAACAATTTGATAACTTATCTATTCTAAATAACTGTTTTATAAATATATTAATAGTTTGGAATTTAAAGAATATATCTAAATGTAATGTACAAAGAATTTAACACGAATCTAGAACAAATTAAATTTAGAATCACATATTCTGATTATTCTTAACTATTTAAAAAGCTAATTTTCTAAAAGCATACTGTATTCACATAGATCTTATTTATCTCACGAAAATATTACAACGTTATATTACAACAATAATTATTATAACATTGCAATCACGAAGTATTAATAGAATAATCATATAATCAATTACGGTTTAATATTAATTAATTATTAAATGTAATTGTATTTTGGCGAAAACAGAACATTCTTTATTCTATTTTTTATTCTTTTTTTCATTAGAGAAATTTATTACCCAGCGCTACAAATAAATATTGTATGTTGTCTTATTAATTAGCTATTAATTATAATTATAATTTGAGGAAAACAAGATTCTTACATTTTCCATTTCATTTCCATTAGAGAAAACTTACTATCGAGCGTTTCAAATGGATATTGTATATTGCCTTTACAAACGCAAGAACGGAGAATCGGTTTTCATTGTGGTTCCATTTAATACGTCGCGATACATTGTTTCTATACTATCTCATTTTCCTTTGGAACTTTCTACACTAACCCGTTTTCCTTTGCAATTCAGGATTAAGTGGTTGATGACAGGTGCTCAGGGTGACCCAATTATAACTTACTGTTCCAGAGCAAAATCCCTCGCGTGACACAAAGGGACTGAAAGATCCTTTGTTAATTGTACGTTTTACAGCAACGCATAATGTGTAGATAGATTTACAACCGCATATTAAATATTTGAAATAATGACGCTAACCGCGAAGAGTTTTACGATAGACGTTAATTTGTAATTGCGTTGTGATACTATTATCCTAATTCGCTATATATCGCGGCTAAAATAATTAAAATTTATAATTAGTTTAGGGCAATTGTTTAGAGTGAATGAGTAATAAAGATACGATAATTGTCATATTATGTGCATGATCATACATCGATAATCTTTTAACACGATTAATTGTATCTCATTATGTACATTATATTAATTATGTTTTTTATCTGATTAGAAACAAAATTGTACATACAAACAAAATATCTACAAAATAACGTGATAATTATTCAAAATATAATTTTTCGAATTGCTTGAAATATTTATTTCGTCACTACTTAAATGTTGACGTCATACTTCTCATAGAAAAAAAATCTGTATTACAAAAGAATGTGACACACATTAAAGTTACTTAGTCTAAATATTTATTTTAAAGAATGTTTACGAAACGAAATCTTTCAAGACAAAGCAGGTCTTTTGTCTGAATACATTTAAAGCAACAACGGAAGCGTCATTACATTATCAGCTTGACTGACGGAGCGACAAATTTCTCGTCCGATTTAAAAGAACGGCACATTTCGCAATCGTACAACAAGTGTGTTTACTATAACGTAAATGGTGGTTCTTTATGAGGGAAGCTTATTACGAGGACATCGCATAGTGTCATCGAATGAATCATTATTACGCAATCATGCGTTATGAGTACCAGAGCTACAATGAGCTGCAAAAGATTCGTTTTATACTGGCATATTTCCTTTTATAAAAGTTGTAAACATTTCAACATTACGTTTCCGCAATGACAGCATAAACGTGAGACAGCATAACGTAACTCACAGAAATTTTACTGATATAAATATTCACAACGCTATAAGAAAAATCACGATTAGAAGTACTTTATCTTAGTTGACAAATCTTTCTGTCTGTATTATAATAAAAAAAGATCAAAAAAATTTTATATTATTTTATATTAACTAAAAGTACGAAATGTGCCTATTACGGTCAAAGTTAGATGTTGAAATAATACATCTATATATGTATTTTAAATAAATTTTATCTCAGAAATATTAATTTGGGAGTATTTTTAATATTTCAATTTGTGTTCCAAGTCCGAACATAATCGGCGCGCAGTCATATTTCTGAGATAAAATTTATTTAAAATATTTATATAAATGTTACTATTCCAATCTTTAACTTTGACCGCAATAGGTGCTTTTCGTATTTTGATTTGTTCATATAAATGCTCCTGTTTCTTGATATTGTTATTTTATATTATTTACTTTATTGAAAAAGACATTATCGCGCGTAACTTCATTACTTTAAGGATTTCGTGATATACAGGCTATATATAATAGCAAAGTGCTAAATCGCGTTAATCTGTAGCGCATCTATTTGTTTCGATACTCAATTTAATAGGATCAGCGATAACGCAAGCAGCTATTGATCCTCCCCCAACACTGCAACGTTATGAAACAATTAATGTGAACATTAGATCCACGTGTAAGACCTTAATTATATGGTTAGTACACGAAAGCAATTAAAATACGATAAAATCAATCATTAATAATTCATGTACATCTTGCTTACACTCGTTTAAAGTACGTAAATATATTATTGTATTGTAAAAGAAAACTTTTCTGCAATTATTTATTGCGGTTTTTCTGTGGTGTAGTTTTGGAATTTATAGAGAAGAATTGTTAAAGCAATTAAAGACATATATGTACGTGCGTGGGAAAATTAATAGAAGTTAATACAATTTCTTTCTCGTATCAATACACGAATTTGCCTGCAATGCAGCGGAGAAAGGTTCGATGGCCCGAACCGCAGTACGGTGGACCTACATACAAGGGTTTCCCCTTGCGGTTTATTTTATAAACGTTGATTAGACGTGCCTGTCAGGAATATCACGCGCTATCGTAGCTGCACCGAACGTTAATTATCTCGGACATCGTATTAATCATCGTTGCGTGATACGTTGCTAACGGACTTGGGACACAACATATTCAACTAAAAGCATAAACTTATTTGCTTATTCGGTTAATATCATTCTCATCTCATTTTTGGCTTTTACGTAAAATATAACAGAAACGACTAGTATCATTCCCTTCAGAAAAAACTTTTAGACATGAATATGACATGTACGTCAAATAAAATGTTTCCCTGAGGCCCACAGAAAGACTGACTAATGTCATGTAAATGGACATATGACGTATGTCCTTCTACCTTCAAGTCGCAAAGTGATATTGATTGTTCTGGTTCCGGACAGATACGTTGATATATTGGGAAGTGCGAAAGTATGAGTCTATTCGTATGAAAAATTGATCTAGAAAAGGCATTGAGCGACAACCAAAGTGAACCTACTTAATTTATTTATGCTTTTATTTTTTTTAAATAGCGTCATCCTTATTATTTTCTTGTGGTCTTACATTAATATTATATATATATAATATATATGTATAAACATTGGAAAATATTTGCGTCAATAGAAACAAAAAAAAAACAATCAAATTTAATAATTTTGATTTTTTTAATTTGCAAATCCTTAATTTATTGAATTGTGGTTCATTATTATCGAGAACATTCATATGATCAGTGTAATTAAAACGACAACGAAGTGACAAGACATACAAAAATAAAAAAACGATTTTGCTGAGGTATCTAAAAATTTAGGTAGATACAGATCTGAAAATAATTTTGTTAGATCATCAAAATAATTATATATTATTAATGTACGATAAAATCAACTAAAAAGTTCAACAAGAATTACGTTTTAATAAAGACAAACAGAATTCCTGGTTATTATTAAAATGTAATTTTTGTTGAGTTTTTTGTTAGTTTAATTAGACATTTTTTTCAATTTTGTTTACCTTTTCCAAGCATGATGAGCAATAGGTACTATAAAAAGTTTTGACATTCTAACAATCAGATTAAGCATTCTACATAATTTGAATAATAAAAATTCTGTTCAATCTCATCAAAATACCATTTTTATCGGGCTCTTCTGTTGATTTAATCAGAACATTTTTTCAGTGTAAGAAGCATGATGGGCAATGCTGCAAAGTTTTGAATTCTGGCAATTGATTTGAGCATCCTATATGATTATTTTGATGGTCGAACAAAATT